ATATGAAAGCTCCACGGCCTGCTCAAGCTACAAGTGACCTTCTTGCTTCTGTGTTCTCCACTGTACTATTTATGCTAATTATCACCTTATACATGTTTCAGAACATTGTTTGTTTTTCTTCCCAGGAGGTTGTTTGTGGTTGAGGGTAAGGACATAGCTTTATTTATATTTATCTTCCAGGTACCTAGTACAATCTCTCTAATGTAATTCCTGTTAGACTAGTATGAAGACATCTGAAATGAGAAGGTGCTAAAACAGTTTTTAAAATTACAGATTCTGCAGTCTTTGGTCAGCATAAGCAATATAAGCAACATACCACACAGTATGTAAGCCTAGAGGAACTATACTCAAAGATTCAAAAAAATTAAAAATTAACTTACCAGCACCAGATGATATCAGCTAACACTTTTAAAGATGAGGAAACACTGTCTAAATGTCTACATTATCTTTTTGTTATATATGTAAATGCGATTCTTCTACACTAGAATCAAGTGTAGAAAAGTATCTAAAATTCAACAACTGAAGTATTTGATCTAAATAATATAATATTGTATGTCCTTAATACTTTGAGAATAAGAACTATTAAGCTCATTTTATAATGTTTTCACTTAAAGCACAGCATATTAAGTAACAATTCTGGAATGCATTATTGGTAAGAGGCAGAGCTGTAACTTGCGCACAGGTCATAACAAATCCAAAGCTCACATTTTAAGCTGCTGTATGTACTCAGGATGATTTTCTTTAGACTGCAGAGCTAAAAGCTCCATGAAGACAGGAACAGTCTATCTTACTCATCACTGTCCATCCTCGGCCTACCAGAGTGCTGGGTCAGGTGCCAAAGGGCCCACAAATTCTTAAAGTCATAAGTGCTTTGTATATATAAATATAATAATCTTGAGATAGACCAAGTCAATAAAAACTGCTAAAATGTATTAAATATTTGTTATAAGTCAAGCAGTATTTTAAGTGAATTCTATCTGAACAACAACCATACAGAATACATATTAGGTACTCACTATATGCCAAGATCATTCTAGTTGTTTTCCATGGGTTAACAGATCTAAATATCACACTAAGTCTATGATAAGGAATTACAATTTCATGCATTTCAAAATTGAGAAAACTGAACTTCAAAGAGCTAAGCTGGACAAGTACCCTCACTCCATTTAGCAAATAAATGGGCAGGTATACAAACCTTTTAATGAGACAATAAAGCTTGCTCTCAGTTTATATGCCATGCAGGTACCCATAGAGTTTTCATCCTCATGGGCTTTCGTGTTCCTCAAGATTATGAATGCACAAAAAATAAAAAGTAAACACCTTATGCATTCTCCAAAAACCATCTTGATCCACGAGAGGCATTCCCAGAAACAGAACATCAGATGCTATCATATAATTCTACCACTCTGTCACCACATATTAAAACACAAGATAGGAAGTATAGACAATAGAGCAGGTCTGGTCCCAGAGGAGTACCCAGTAAAAGGGCAAGATAATGATGAATTACAAAGTTGCTAGCATAGGCACCCAAATATATATACATGTTGCTCTTACAAATGATATATTAAATCAAGGGGTTGCTTGGTCTTAAATGCAATTGCATGACTTAGAAGAATGCCTTGACTATACTTGAATCCCTAGCTCTAGCCCATATAGTGTGCGACCTTAGTCAATCTATTTCTTTTTTTTTTTTAATTTTTATTTATTTGAGAGAGAGAGACAGAGAGACAGAGAGACAGAGAGACAGAGAGACAGAGAGACAGAGAGACAGAGAGAGAGAGAGTGGTGTGTGTGTGGCCAGCTCAGCCCACCAGGGGGCGGGGCTGGCTGGCATGTGGTGCTGGGGGATTGAACCGCGGTCCCTGTGCTTTGCTAAGCTTGTTCTAAGTAGGTGCTTTAGACCACTGAGCCATCTCTCCAGCCCCAGTCAATCTATTTCTCTCTGTTTCATTTTTCCCATTTATAAAATGAAAAGATTATCAATATGAGCTATATAGGATTACTATGAGAAATAGTTTTGAAAATGCATATGAATGCCTTAAGACAGCTGCTAGCCTCTACTGTGTATTAAATAAGTATCAGTGTCATGTGTTGTAGGGCACATTTGCAATCCCAGGACTAGAGAGGTTAAGCCCTGATGATCATGAGTTTGAGGCTAGCCTGAGCTACACAATGAATTTAAAATAAGGAAACCTTATCTCAAAAAATCAAAAGAAAAAACCAAACAACATATGTATATAGCTCTAAAGAGCTTGTTCATGTGAAAGAGTAAGCCATGTGTGCGTGCTCTTAGCATGAGTAGCAGGACTCACACCAAAGTTGTAAGTGCCTACACTGGGTGGAGGAGGAGCATGGAAAGAAATAACTCTGTTGATGAACCACTGTACACCCAGTTGTTGGGCTTCTTTTTAAAGAACCCAAAACTATGATACCTTATTTTAAAATTGTGCTTTCATCCCAGGAATGAAGGTGGCAAAAACAGTAATTAAGAAATGCAAAGTCACAGTATTAACTACTAACCCAACCATATTCCATACATTTGCAAAATATAATTCTCACCACATACCAGTATCACCAATCTTTCAGAACATGGACAGATGGAACAAATGCAGGAGCATCTTTTACAAGCTCCAGATACAATGTCATTTTGAAACTTATTTAATTCCCTTCCCATTTTCAAAGCAAAATTGTCCAACACCCTAAGTCAGATGTCCAAGGGCTGATTTATATAACTTTTAAATACTGAACACCAACATTTGACTGATGGATTTGTCAAGAAAAAATTGACAACAGTTTAAATAGGTCATTATGATTCAGTGTTGCAAGCGCTGCACATATGCTGTGGGTACCTGGAACATTCTTTGCAGAATCTGCCAAGTTTGAAGTGAGTGCTCCCTTGAAGCTAGCAATTCTCAGAATACATCTTCAGCAGAACTCACGAAAAGCTATTCACAGTATCATGTTTGTAACCCTAAGAAATTGAAAAAATCAAGAGACTATTCAGGAAGACGCTGGTAGGCTGCACTGAACACTTCCACTGGTGGTAGAGGGGAGTAAGATTTTTGTTTACTGACAGAAAATTGACTGAAAAATACTAAATGAGAAGTAAATTTGAAGATAATAGTATAATATGAAACATTGTTCAATGTTTGAAACAATGAAAGCAAAATTTCTGTGCCATGCACATGGAGACTGGAGAGTCACAGACTCAAATTCTGAGATTAGTGAGATTGAGAGGGAGAATCCTTTGATAGTTTACTAAAAGTTTCCTGTTTCTTATAAGCTAGCATTATTCCTGGAATTCACTGAATAATAAAGATTTTTCAAAGAAATGGAGCACATAAATAAAATTATGTGTATGATGGATAATATTAAAAATATTAGCAACCCACGAATTAGGTTTTTTCCAGTTCATTTAGAACCCCAATTGTAGAATAAAATACTGGTGAGACATTAACAGACACACTTTAGCAAAAGGGCTGTACCTTGATAAAGCATGTTGAGAAAATTCCTTAATTAGACCCATAAGTAAAAGAGAAAATGGAAGAGAAAAATGGAAAGGTAAAAAGGAAGAGAAAAGAGAAGAAAACAAATGGTTCCTAATCTGTACTCTTTTGAAAAGTGAAAAATGAGTAATTTACCTCCTCCTCTGCCCCTTCCTAACCCTCACAGAGTACTAGGGTGAGGCCCAACACCTGTGGTCATTGACTTCAAACACGAGATCTGGTGGCTTCAGTACAACATGTGCTGAGAGGATAGGGACTGAGGACTAACTATTTAAAAAATAATAATAATGTTAGCTAAGGTAGAGAAACCATTTAGTGATGAAAACTACACGTGAAGAGAGAGAAAACTTAAAATAACCGGAAAAGCAGGAGAATGTAACTTAAGCCAAAACAGGAACTAGTGTTATCAATCAGGTGTTTAGTTTGCAGGGGTATAATCACGAAGGTTTGGGTTTCCGTGTTCTGTATTTTTAGCCCTTGACCTTCCAAAATTGTTTTGCCAGTCAGAGAAGAGTGCTTTGACTTAATTTTCAGACAGCCCAAAAAGCACAGAGCAACAGGTACGAATTGCTATATTCAATTGTAAAATCTCATCACCTGTTAGCTTACTCCCATTAGACCCATAATGATTACTACTTAACCTGCCCGTGGTTTAATTAGGCTTCCCAAAGTACTGTGCTTCCCAAAGGGAGCTGGGGCGGTTTAAATAACATACAGGGTCCAACAGCATCACCGGGAGATGACCATTTCCACCGTGTCTCCAGGAGAGAAGGGATGGAAATGGACTTGAGTTGAGGCCACGGGGGATGCGCCTGTGGCCAAGCACTTCCCCCCACACCTGCAAGGTCCAGGAACAGTCATCTGCCCGGCCTTGTTTCAGGGCCACCAAAGGGGGGGAGGCAAAGACCTCCACGAAGGCCCCCAGAGACCTGGGAATCACGTGACTCGAGACGGCGTTAAAGCTTTCTCTGCAAGTACGACCGTTTTCAATCCTGCATGAAGCCTTGCACAACCTCGCCCCGACTCCTCCAGCCCTCTCTTCCTCCCTCCACTGCAAGCCCCGCGAGGCCTCAGGGGACTTGTTTTCAACACAGCCTGGCCCCGGCGGACTAGGGCTCAGCCCTCCTCCAACCGCCGGAGGGGACAGACGCCTCCGGGCCGGGACACTCACCTGCGCGGCGCCGCTCCCGGGCTCCCGCGTCGGTCGCAGTCAGCGGCGCCGCGGCCACCGCATCGCCCGCCCGGCAGCGGGGTCCCCACCCACTCTGCAGCGGTGTCCCGGCCGCACTTCTCCGAGTCGGGGAAGTTTGCTGAGAGTCTGGAGGTGGGGTGGGGGAGGGGCTTTGGGCGAGGAGGTTTGAGGACTTTGTTGTTGTTGGTTTGTTTGTTTGTTCCCGTTCTCTAGCGAAGATTTTGGACCATATGCTGGGAGAATATTAGCTTTGCTCAATGGCGACAGGGCAGCGGCCTCTCACCGTCTGATCGATTTACTAAACAAACTGAAACGTGGGTGGGGATGTTAAACAGTAACCAGCAGCTTCAAAGAAAACTGAAAGCAGCTGCGAGGCCGCCACCGCCTCGCTGCCGCGTTCCTTTCCCTGTCCGCGGGGCGCAGGGCCACCGGCGGGCGCGCGAGTCCCGGCCCCGGCCGCCTTCGGCCTCGTGGCGGGCTGGGGTCCCGCACCCGCCGAGCCGCGCCCGGGCTGACAACCAGCCCTCGCCCGCGCCCTCGGGGTCACGCCTCAGCCTGGAGGTGCGAACCCGCCCGGGAAGTGTGGGGGGCCACTGGGGTCAAGGCAGAAAGCTGCTGACCCTGGGAGGTGGCTGTAGTTCCGCGCCCACGGGTCCAGCAGAGGGCGGTGGTATCGCTAGAGGGATTAAGGGCGGCCCCCGGCAGCGCTGCTACGCGCCGCTAGGGGACCGCGCACAGTTTCCTTAAATTGCGCCTTGAGACTCAGGCTAAAATCTTCTCAGGTGCTGGAAACCACCTTTCTGTGCAACAGTTCTAGAAAGAGGAAAGAGGCTGCCTTTCCTTTCCCGGGCATCCCAGCTACCTGTGGTTTTAGGTATCAAGTACATTTTTACGTGCATAGCTGATGACAAACGTCCCTTTCTCCATCTCCTACGCAAGAACCTTCTTTACCTGAGAATGACGCTCACAGTCATCCGCAGGGCTCTGGTCATCTTGATCAGACATCGTTAACCAAAAATATAGTCAGAGCTGGGGTTTAAAAAAAAAAAAAATCTCAGCAATTTAACTTAGTGTTTGAGGAATGAATGACTTCGGGTCAAACAAGTAATTATTCTTCTTAGATAAATCGTTGCCTAATCCGTCGGGTTTTTCTTTTCCGAAAAGGGGTTGGGCTGTTATTTTAAGATTGTAATAACAATTCCAAGGAGATCAAAGTACTAGGGTTTTTTTCTTTCTTTCTTTTTAGATCGGGTTTTACTACACTTTCTCAGTTTCCTCCTTGAGAATATCTTGCTGAAAGATTCTTAAAAACAAGTAGTTGGCTGTTTTAGAAATCAGAACAATGGAGAGAGATCTTATACCATTTTCTTTAAAGACTGCTTTCTGAAGCAAAACACATTCTTTGGGTACTCATTGCCCACGGGATTGTCAAACCATCCCAATAAAAGTAGCCACTGACACAGTCACTCCCTGGAAACCTCAGCAAGACGTAAGAGTGACAATTAACGGGTTACATTTGTTATGCAGAGCTTTCATAGGTGTGCTGTTTACTGACCACCTGGGGACATTCTTTTAAAAAACTTTTCCCACAAGCTTAATTACTGAAAGCAGTCTTAGTATATGCCAAAATGTAAATGCAGAGTTCCCATAAAACTGAAAGCCTAGGAACAGACATTTTCTATCCCCATTACAGAAGCTTAATGACACTTGACATCTCTTGTTCCTAGCAGAGAAATATTTTAATTCAAAAGTCTCAGTTTATATCACCGTTAATCTGCGATGTCAGTGGGTTTAGTTTTGGATAATCAAATCATTATTGATGTGTGATAAGATCTACCAAGAAATAATCGCATATTCTGTGGTTCAAAATTATTTTGACGCAATATAGAGAAGCTTTGCCAGAGAATCTTATCAACAGGAGAATCTTATCAAATAATGATGAGAAACTGTCGGGCATTCAAGGAAGAGAATTCTGAAGTCTTAGTTATTATCCAAGAATAGCACTGCATTTTTCAATTTAGAAGAATCCCAGAGAAAAGTTTGTGTTAACACGACCAATCTTCCTGGATCTGGAACAAGCAGGGAGTGGTTTCAGATGAATAAATGGATGGATAGATGCTGGACATTAAGGGATAAAACAAGGTACAAGAAATTGGCTTGGCGCCGGAGCTTGGCAGTTTTTGTTAGCTAAACCAATGCCAAAGAGCCAAGCTTTAGAGCATCACTTACATTGTTCCTGAAAGTAATTTATTACGATTCTCCATGGCTTGAGTTGAAACTGAAGATGAAAAATGTGCTGTGTGGAGAGCTGTCCCTTGGTGCTTGGTGGGGTGCGTGCAGGTGGCTGAGGGAGCCACAATGAGGACAAGATAGGCATAATTTTTCAGGGAAAGATTCTCAGAAGATAGAAAGTTCCATTTCGCTAGTCGGTGGATAGGGGAAAACTGGACACGTGAACATTTGTTTCAATTGCTGTATAAACCTAAAACCAAACACACCCAAAAAGTGGCATTAAAAAAGAAAAACCCTTTATTTAATCTTGCTACGCAATGTCTCGTTTAACCTGTGCTTTTTCTATCTACGCTGGCAATCTTTTCGTACCATTTTTGTCTTCTTCCGAACGTCACTCGGATTGGGAAGAATTCTACGTTCTCCCCGAAGGGCTCTGAGCGTTTGCGCTAAGCGCTGTGGCCTCTAGCAGGGCTCTGAACCTGGGGCGGGCGCGGAAGCTTGGGGAAAGCACTGCCTCACTGAAGCGCCCAGGGGCGATTTCCCAGCACGGTTCCGTACCTCCGACCCCACACATAAAGCCCTTGCCTGTCCGGAGGGAAGAATCCTCTTCCTGCCTAAGCGGGTGGGGCCAAAGTCACCTCCACCCATCAGGCTTCAGAGCGCGACCCTCGGTGACCTCGCCCACCCTCCCTTGCTTCGTTTAAAGGCAAGAGTTAAGAGAAAGAAGAAAAAGAGAAACCTGGGAAGCTAATACAGTTCTCCACTTCCCAGATTGTGTTTTTGTATTTATTTTCCACCACGTTTTTGGGAAAGCCAGTAGCACCTTCGAAGCCTCCAACTATAGAAGATGACAGGTGAAACTAAGAGACCGGAGCTCCGCTGAGTGCGTCCCTCAATTCAAAGGACGGAGCTCTGCTTGACCCTGAGACAAAACAACGGGTAAAACAGTCTCCTCCAGATTTTAAAAAAACTCCCCAGAGGCCGCTGAATGTTTTATGCATCAGAAGAGAAGGCAGGAATTCCGGTCTGGGAGGAAGCAGTGGAACAGCGGGGTGAGGGTGAGAGTGGGGGCAGGTTTAGCCTAAGCCACAGGGCCAGACCCTGCACTGAAGTTTTTCCCCTGAGCTCGGCTCTTTGAGTGAGAACACAATCCTTTCACTTCCTAACGCAGCCCGTGCACCGGCACAGATTACTGACACTGTAAAACTGCTATTCGCACCCACAGCAAAGAAGATGCCTGGCCATTTCCTCCGCTTGGATTCTGTGCAGTGACCTCCAACGAGTTCAGCCCCCCACCTCCACCCCCAGGCATGTAGCAATTGCAGATCGCTGTCTGCTACGGCTGTTTTGGTGCCCTGGCCTGTTATTTTGTCAGGCTTTCTGTAAAGCGCTCAGTTTTTAGCTTGTATTTAACGTGGTGAAACAAGAAAAAGGAAAAAAAAAAAAAAAAAAGGAAGAAAAACAAAGTAGGAAGGCCTTTTGCACAAAAGCACAGGGGTTGATTGGTACCCCACCATTACCATGGAAGGAGGTAGAAAGTAGGAAGGAAGACTAGCCAGACACTTGCCTTGGCTTTGGGGGAATCAGACACCTTAAAACCACTAAATATAAAGGCATCCCATAGATTGGCCGTCCTACTTGGTCCCACCTCGTGCCATATAAAAATGAATCTTTATTTTCTGCTGAAGTTTACATATCAGGAGCAACAGTTTCAGTCCTTGTAAGGAAGGCCACAGGAATGTTTCCAGACTCCTCCATCATGTGTTAATAAAACTACAAAGTCAAGATTCCAAATAGAGGGTCTATACTGCAACTGTTCTGTGTATGTCACACATCTGAACGAGACGCTGGGAAAGCCCAACACTTAATAATTCTCAATGTCAATGTATTTTTTTGTGTGCCAAAAAAGCAAACTCCTAGGCTGGATCTTTTTTTTTTTTTTTTTCCTTCACCCTCCTCTTCGTGAATTTCCTGCTAAAGTATTGATTGCCAAGGTCTCTGCAAGATTTGCAAACTTTTACAGTCATTTATGGTGTATGCAATAAAAAGAGGCGGTAGGAGCACGTTAGTTCAAGGTGTAATGCAAAGATGTATTGGGTGCCCTTGGCAACTATCTGTTGACCTGTTTGTCTTTGCAGCACACACCCTACTCTGCAATGAACTCCCCAGGAACAAAGATTGGCCCTCTACATTTTCAGAGCTGTGGTGCTTTAGCAGAGAGGCACACACATTCAAAACATAAAACTCAGGTGATTTCAACTTCACTTGAAGTTCCAAGGGAAAAAAAGCTTCTCATCAAAATTGTGATAAAGCAGGAAAATAGAACCTCTTCAAATTTCCTAACTTTCTAGTGTCTCTTTTCATGAAGAAAACAAGTAAATTTATTACCAATTTACAATATAATCTCCAACGACCCCTTGCATAGCAGAGTTCTGCAGAGCCTTCCACTGTGAGAAAATTAAAGGACCGGGATTATATGGTATTAAGATAACACACTTTGGTATGCATGTGTCTAAATAAGAAAAAAAATCTTGAGTGCTTCATATGAAAACACATGTCTAGTTAAGTATAAAGTTGTTGCTGAATGTTAGTTTTACAATTTTAAAATAAAGAAAACAAATACACAAGAGATCTCTTGTTTTACTCTGTAATTGTACATAGAATGTAAATGCCTTATGAGAAACTTTATACACCTTTTCCAGTTTTCCCGGGCCTTTTTTCTTTTCTTTTTTTGTAAGCTATGGGTAAGATACTGGGTGGGTAGAGAAAGACTAATTTCTAAAATTTCCTATTCTGAACCAAATCATTTTTCTCATCTGCTATTTAAAAAAAGGTGACATACAGCTACTAAATGGTATTTGGAATCCTACACCTGCCATCTAGTGGACATAAGAGAAAATGCCAGTTCCAGATTCGTGGGCTCTGTTGGGTGGTTTTAGTCACAAATCAAAGCAAGTCTAAGAAATAGAAGGAAAATACGGCTCTAAAGCTAAAGGAAATGAAATAAATAATTGTGT